CAGGACATTAAAATTTGTGGAGGACCACCTGAGCAGCTCTCCTTGAAAGAGTGACTGTCTCCATTTTGACTGAGCCTGACCCTATTTCCTTGTATTGTTATGTACAGAGCTGGCTAGGACTTCTGTTTATCCTTCAACTGGCCTTAAGCAATGTATACTGGTCTAGCTGAGGTGCTGGTGATAGTCTTTGAAGGTGGCATGCGTGTTTCCCTGGTAATCTATACCTGCTGCTCTTTAATGTGAGCCTGGTCAAGACAGGAAGAGCCAATGCTCCACACAGCCAGCTGGGATCAACCTGGAGATAGAGGCTATGACTTCCTGGGGCTTGAAAGACTACACCAAACCTGAAGCACCAGACTTAACAAAACATTAAATACTACATAATGCAGATTACTCTCTCTGCATATCCTCTCTGCATATCACAGAGGTAAATGTAGGCCACCCACCCAGCTCAGCTCATAGTGGTCACCTACTTCCCACAATTCTTAGTCAATCTTCCCCAAGCTACTCTGCCACTAAATAAAACCAGGTGAGGCCCTGGGTCGCTCTCTTGGTTCTGGAAAGCCATCTTCATGGCTGGACTTAAGAGCCCTTGACTCCCCAATACTGAAAATATAATTTAGTATCATTATTTTCGCTATGATTTGCATTGAAAGTGGTAGATAGGAATCAACTTGATGGGATTCCAATAATGTAACTTTGGGATTACAAATATTGGCTTTTTGGACCGAGACGAGGATCTGAAGTGTCTCCTACAAAAATTTCCTCATAAAAAAATTCAATTCAATTTAAAAGGCGGTTCAGGGAGAAGGCTCAGTGGAATAAGCACTTCCCTGGCAAGTGCAAGGGCCTGAGTTGAATCCCTGATTCCACCAATAAATAAATAAATATATTAAAATAAAATTCCTTCGTGCCATATACATGCTACCCACCCTCTTCATGACTCACTGTCTTGGTTGCGAGGTCACCTATAACAATACCATGATGACTGTCTTTATGTACACCATAAATTTACCTCATAGCCCCAAAAGTGCCAGTATAATGCTAACAATTCAAATATGCCAACAGGGGCTGGGGAGATGGCTCAGTGGAATAAGCACTTCCCTGGCAAGCGCAAGGGCCTGAGTTCAATCCCCGGTCCTGCCAAAAAAAAAAAAAAAAAAAACAAATATGCCAACAGAAGTTATAAACTGCTTTATGTGAAATGGTACATCCTCACGTAAGAAATCATAGCCAGTCTAATCATGGAACCGGTAGATTTAACTTTTCAAAATAAAGTATTTTTCTTATTCCCATACATACACAAACTCAATAAAGACATCATTAAATGATTGCTCATTCTGACCATTCACAGAGCACAGCATTTGTTTAATTATAAATTCAAGTATAATTTAAAGAATCAACAAGACAATGCTGGGCTGGTGAGATGGTTCAGTGGTCTAAGGCACCTACTTACAACAAGCTCAGCAAAGCACAGGGACCACGGTTCAATCCCCCAGCACCACATGCCAGCCAGCCCCGCCCCCTGGTGGGTTGAGCTGCCCCCCGCCCCACACACACACAAATAAATAAAGTTTAAAAAAAAAAAAATCCTATACCCAAACGCTCACAGAAGCATTATCTACAACAGCCCCAAAAGCAGAAACAACCCAAATGTACATCAACCCCAGTGAAGTGATAAATAAAAGGTGACAAACCCACAGAATAGACCATTATTTGACTACTAAAAGGAATTAAGTAGGCAGAGGGAGGAGGATGATAAGTTCAAATCCTTCCTGGGCAATTTAGTGAGACAATGTCTCAAAATAGAAAATTAAAAAAAAAAAACAAGACAATGCTGGGAATGGTAACACCCACCTATAATCAAAGCACTCAGGAGGCAGAGGCAGAAGGATCACTGCAAGTTCTACACCAGCCTGTGCTACAATATGAGCTCAAGGCCAGCCTGAACTGCATGGCAAGACCCATTTCAAGAAGACAAAAAAGAAAAAAGATGAACAGACATCCCAAATACAAAACCAATAATATAATCATTTTAAATGGAAGTCAGGAATCAAACTTACTGGAATCATAAGTTTTTTAAGGATTCTAATCTCAAGTACAACCTATTAAAACTTCATGGTAAAACAAGGAAAGTTCCCTGTCAGGAACCAAGCTTCTACTTCACATTTATTCTGTATAAGCAAAATAAACTAAGACTCACAATATTACTTTCTTCAAATTTCACCGAGTTTTGTTGTTGCTGCCTTTTTTTTTTTAAGGCAGGGTCTCACTATGCAGCTCAGACTTGTAGTAATCCTGTTTTCTGCCTCCCTAGTGCTGGGATTACAGGTGTGTGCCACCACACCTAAGCTCTATCCAGCTCAGTGCACCCAGGGGTGGGGCTGACACAGCATGTGGTGCCAGGGATCGAATCCTGGCCCCTGCGCTTAACTAAGCAAGTGCTTAGTCTACTGAGCTATCTCGTCAGCCCGATTACCAAGTATTTTTACTATACTGTTTGAGTGGTTTGCACTTTGGTTACTTTTATCAGTTTTCCTTTTTAAGGTCTTTTGTCATGGATATTGGCATAAAATTTGAAGATTTTAGGGCAAGTGAGATAGCTCAGCAGACTAAGCACCTGCTTAGGCAGGTGCAGGGACCAGGGTTCAATCCCCAGCACTACACGCCTC